CCCCGGAATCAATCCAGGCTGGGGATGAAATGATGGAGCAGCCCTGGGGAGAAGGGATTGGGGATGCTGGTGGGGGAGAGCTGGACATGCCCCAGCACCCATAAAACCTCCCGTGTGCTGGGCTGCCTCCCCAGCATCATGGGCAGGAGGAAGGGGAATTCTGCCCCTCTGCCCTGCCCAGATGAGACCTCTGCACACCTGCAGAGCCACCCCAGCCCTGAGGCCCAGCACAGGAGGGACCTGGAGCTGCTGGAACAGATCCAGAGGAGGCACCAGAGGGATGGAGCAGCTCTGATGGGAGGAAAGGAACTGGGATTGGAATTTGTCTCTGGAAAAGAGAAGGTTTCAGGGTGACCTACAAGAAAGTTGAAGAGCGACTGTTACAAGGGCCTGGAGTGACAGGAAAAGGGGAAATGGATTCACACTGACAGAATAGGTTTAGATCAGGTATCAGGGAAAAATCCACCTCTGTGAGGGCGGGCAGGCCCTGGCACAGGGTGCCCAGAGAAGCTGTGGCTGTCCCTGGATCCCTGGAAGTGTCCAAGGCCAGGCTGGACAGGGCTTGGAGCAACCTGGGATAGCAGAAGGTGTCCTGCCCATGGCAGGGGGTGGAATGAGATGATCCTTAAGGTCTCTTCAACCCAAACCATTCCATGATCCTGTGGTCTGTTAGCAACCCCTCTGAGCAGTGCAGCCCAAAGCCAGCACTGCAACCAAGAACCAGCAGTGAAAAGAACCAGGCAGAGACCAAGAGCTCTCATTAGAAGGCAAATAAAAAGATAAATTTCTCCAGAAAAATATGTTGGAGTAAGAGGAACACAAGAGGAGCTGGAGAATGGATATGAGCCAGAGGCAGCACTTCATCCCTTCTTGCTGGGCTGAGCTTCTGCTGATCAAATCCTGCAGCTCAGATCCCCCAAAGGAAGGTCAATGACAGAAACTGCAGCTACCCTGTGTTTCTTGAGTGGCTTTCTCACTTCAAAAAAGCTGTGAATAAGTGAGGTCTGCCCAGCTTCTTTTTAAATTTCATCTGAATCCTATCAAATTCTACAGAACATATTTCAAAGCCTGCAGTTTCATCCAGGACCAGCAAGATTTCCTGGGGGATGCGTGCTGGAAGAAAACATCCTCTCCCCAGCAGATGTGATAACACCACGTCTCACACTGAAAACGTTTCAGACAGAGGGTGACTCCTGGCAGATTTCAGTGACAGAGCTGGGAAATGGAGGTGGATTAAAGATGCAGTGAGAGACACAAGAAGAACGAGGTCATTTGCAGCAGACCAAGACCAACAGGCACAAGTCAGCCGGGTGCCTGTCAGTCCAACGGGATGCTGGAATGCAGAGGCTCATCCATTCCTGCCCCAAAATGCACTCTCATCTCTGTAACACTGGCTCTGACTCACAGAACTGGTTTTGTGTCCTCTGTGGCTGGCCCTGTTTCTGTTCTCAATGACACATGAAAATCTTTGGAATAATTCCTTTGGAGCCAAGAAGATTGCTGTGGATTAATGCCAACGGCAGCAAACCGGCTCGTGATCCTTGACGGAGAAAACACAGCCACAACGTCAGACTGTGCTGTCACCCTTCCCTGTCACATGGATCAGTCTGGGTTTTTTGGTCACTTTTCAAGGGCTCAGAGGACCCAGTGAGGGAGCCAAGAGCCACCATTTCACAGCATCATCATCCCCCTCAAAAGCCTTCCCAATAAGAAGCTTCAAGGGTTGAACTGCATTAATTTAAACACAAAAAAACGAGGGCCTTCCAGACTTCCAGAAGCCCCCATAAGAACCACCAGAGACAATGGGAGCTGCAGATGAGCAGCAAGAATTGGTCACAGGGTTGAGCAGAATTGCTCCCTCTCAGTGCTCCAGACCCACAAACTCTCCTCCCTGCTGTCCTTTGGCAGTCAAAGATGACAAAAATTATTATAATAAAAGCTGTGACTTGCATGCAACCCCCAAATCACCCCATGGTTTATCAGCACAGCCCCGTTTTGACTCTCATGAGTGGGGGATTTGGAGGGCAGAGCCCCACAATGCAGGTGTTGTCTCTGCATGAACTTCACCCTCTGTGGGTCCCTGCCACGTGTTTTGCTCCTGCACTGCACACCAAATTCCTCTTGGCACAGGCAGAAGCTCTCAGTGGAGACAAAATGATCCTTACAGCACAGAGGGGTAGGAGATCCAAAATGAACATTTCATCTCAAATTCCCACCATCACAACAGCATCATTTTCACCTGATTAGTGTTTTTAAACTGCAGCATTACCATGGGGCCATGCAGTAAAACTCACATCCCTCATTGCATTTTCCTTTCTTTTTTAAAGTTTTTGGGGTTTTTTTTCCATAATCAATAAAATAAAAAAAGCTCAATCTCATGCTCAGAAACTTGAAAACTTTGAAAAACCTCTTCTTCCCAGAGGGTCCATCCTACCAAAAAAGCTGTTGAAGGCACCTCTTCTGCTTCAGGAAAGAAAGGTGGTGGGAGGAAAATGAACATTTGGTGGAATATGGATTGCTCTGGAGCTTGTGACTTCTCTATTTCAATTAAATCCTCTGCTGCCAAAAGCCTTCACATCACTCCTGAATGAAGTTCTACCTAGACAGATTTAGTAACTTTTTTTCTGGGAAATAAGAGGAAAAAACCAATATGTGAGGCCCTAGAAAGGACCATGGAGAGAGATGGACTCGAAGCCATGGTGAACATCAGGTACAAAAGGCTGTGCACTGTCACAAAAATGTGGGGGTTTTCCAGCTGCTTTCTTTCATAATGAAGGAATAGCACTAAAAATGCATCCCACCACATTCTCCAAGGGCTTAAATGGACATCATTCCCCTAAAACCAGGACAGACTGTCTGGTCCATCACTGGGAAATGATGTCATAAACATACATTTATATATTAAAATATATACTATATACATTTAATTACATTTTAATACATATTTACATGTTAAATCTATATAAACCCACAAAAGGCAGGGCATAGTTCTGCAACATTCTCAATCCTGAATGGCTCTTTATCTCATAGACACAACCTATTTTTTATAGCTACAATTTATTTACATATATGACTGATTTTATATATGGGTTTATATATTTTCATATATAATTTTGGATATATTCATATATCTACATAAAAAACCCACAAAGGTGGGCACATATTTGCAAGCTTGAATGGCTCTTTATTTTACCATAATCATCTTATCCTGCCCTCCCTTAAAAAAATGCCATCTTTGTAAAGGCACACAGCCATGCCTCTGCTAAGTTATAAAAATGAACATCAGAAATTATCCAGTAAAGGCAACGATTTTAACCCTTCCAGCCCTGCCAGGCCTGAGTGGGTGGATTGATATATTCCAAGTGTTTCTGTTCCCTGGATCATCGACCACAACCCCTGCATAAAAATGCCAATCAGTTTTTAGCAGGGGCTCAGCGTGGCTTGATGCCATGCTCTTCACATGGCACCGAGCCCTTCCTAAGAATCCTCCCTGTTCCACCTCCTCCCTCCTGCTCCAAAAAAAAAACCCCCCGTGAATCCAAACCTTCAAATCTTTCCAGTGCCTGTAGTGAAAGGCTGGTTTGGCAGCAGAGTAAGACTGGGGGGGACACATCATCACTCAAGTTCCAGCAGAAGTTAGGAGACTGGCACGAGCTGGAGGGAGTTATTTCAACGGGTAGTGCCACCATAAATAAATATTGACAGATCCTGCCGGGATCTGTTGGAAAGGGCAGGCAGGGAACACAGGGCACATTCAGGAGACCACGGAGATGATTTGGATGGAGCAGATTAAGTGTTACATATACCTTTTTTATACATCTATCTTGGCTTTTCTGGGGCTGAGCCTGAGCATGTTTGTGCACAGGAGGACATTTGCCCAGTTTGAGGTGGGTTCTGGGCGTGTTTGCAGGATTGTAGGAATTATTTGGTGCCTGACAGCACAATTTTCCTGGCTATGGAGAGCCACGCTCAGGTCATCAGCTACAACAACCAGAAGTGACCACCTATGGCTGGCTCCTGGGTGGGCAGTGGGAAAAACCCTCCCAGCAGAAGATCCCAAAACAGGTCCCTCCAGCAGGAGCCAGAGAATAAAGGATCCCAGAGGCTCCTCCCCTCCTGGAAAACGCTCTGTTGAGAATCTCTGCCTGTCTTAGTTAGAATTATGGGTATGGCACCATTCCTGCAAAACATTTGCACCAGGAAGCAGCTTGACAGATGGAGAAAGTTCCAAGTGAAGGGAAAAGCACAAAGTTAATTACCATCAGGACCTGACATTTAGAAAGGGACATTAAACAGGATTTTCAAACAAGATTTAGGCTTGGTTTTCAGCTTAAGTACTTGCAGCCAAACTCAAGATTCAAAAAGGTCTCCACAGCCACCTGGCCCTGGAGATCCCAACATTTTCTAACCTTTCCTTCTTCAACCTGAAACCACCACACCTCTGCACATCCAGAACCGAGCAGGCAAACACTCCCCTCTGCCAAAGCCAGTAACAACAGAGCACAGGACTCTCCACCACCATCTCCAGAGACAAGCAGAGCAGGCTTTAAAAACCTGCTCCCAAAACAAGGCTGGGAGCTTTGTCTTGAAAGCACTGTCACCTGAGAGGAAAGAGCACTCAGGAACTCTTCCACAGTGGCCTGGTGGCCGGAGCTCCTCCCAGCTACTCCAAGTTTTTAATGGGTCCACATGCAGCCTCAGAGGTCAGAGTTTAGTACAAAGCTAAAGGTTGTTCTGGATGGGAATATGTCTGAAAGAAATGCAAAGTCCCACAGCTGAGGTCCTGCCTCTGTCACCCAGCAATTAAGAGCAGAAGGAGCAGGAGGTCCAGGATTTTGGCCCCACATCCTGGGAATATTCCAACAACCTGATGGAGAACACCCATGCAGGTGTCAAGGCAGGGAGTGGCACCATGTCCTGGCTCAGGCCAAGCCTGGCAAGCAAAGCCCAGGTGGCTCTGGTGACCCTGGCAGGGTCCCCATGAGGGTGACACGCGTTACCTCTGCATCCTGGACATCCTGTGGAGCTCCATGTCGTCGCTGCCACGGAAGCCTTTGGCAAAGGGGTTGTTCTCAATCTTCAGCTGGGTGATCTGAAAGGGAGGAAACGCAACGGGGTCATCACCAGTCCAAGGCATGGCCTGGGAGAGAGGGGAGAGTGGTTATTAAACCCAAGGCAGGTGGGATGAGAGGGAAAATGCAGCTTGCGGGAGCTCCAGCCATCCCTCAGCTCACTGACCACTCCAGATGGGCCTTTCCCTAGAATGCTCCACCGGAAAAATATCTCCTGTCAACAGCCTCTCGCTTCTCCCAGGCTTGTCCCATAACTAACATGTGGGACTGCTCACACACATTTTTCTCTGGAGAAAATCTGCTTTCTGAGAGCTCTTACTTGCATTTTGCTGTTGGGACAGAAAGGGCCCCACTGTTCAGAGGACCAGGGATGGAAGCTGAGACTGTGCTACTCCAAGAGGTTCCTGCACTGCTTTTCCTGAGGGTTTTGGTGAGCAGGGTTTGTCATTTAAGCCAATATTAATTGTGGACCAGAAAAATCCTCTGCTGCCCTGTGGATTTTGTGAAAACTCACTCTGCCTTGCCAAATCTGGTGCAAATGCTTTGGTGCTTTGGCAGCACAGGACTGAGCCTGGATCAGGTGTGATAGTGCTGCAAAGCCCCAAAATTTGGGCAGAAGAGGGAAAAGTTCCCTTTTTTTCTCTTTTCTCCATCACTGCCTGGCAGTCTGAGCTCTCAGCAAAGAATCAGGAGACACACTTGCCCAGGAGGAAAGACAAAACTCAGTGTTTGCCACTTCACGCTCTCACCACGTCTTATGGAAACCCCATCCCTTCCTTCCTATCAAAAGCTGGCCAAGGGGAAGGGAAGAGCTCAGGACTAACGGAGGGAGAACAGAGAGAAGTTCATGTTCACCAAGTCAAGCACAAACAACTGGGCCCACCTTCCTGCCAAAATCCAAAGAGGAAAATCTGGCTCGCCCAGTGTCAATAGTAAGCCTCGCCAGGTGTATGCACAACCAGATTATTTTGCTCTTTTCTTGTATTTTTTGCATACTTTTTTCCAAGGACCGTTTGTTTATTTGCCATTTTTGCCTCATTCAGCCCCAAATTTCTCACAGACCCCCTCCACCACACTTACACTTATCTCCACAGGCAATCCCATTAAATCAGGACCATACTTCAGCACATAAACAAGCCTTTGGCACTTTTTTATTTTGGTCCCTCATTTCAGATTTCAAAGAGAAGGGTAAACAAACAATCTTTTGGGGTCAATTTGCCAGTTGAGCCATTCTCTAGCAATAAAACAGAGGCGTGTTTTGTAATTAAAAGCCCCAAATTATTACACAACCAGCTCTGTATTTTGCAAAGCCACTGCCTATCGGTTTGAAGGTGGTGACTCTTCTAGACTAATAGGCATTATTCAACATTTTGAATGTTCCTGAAGCCCTGTAAATGTAGGAGTTGTCCTCCCTCACCGACCCCAATGGCAATATTTGCTCGCATAAGTGAAGTCCTTCAGCGAGTGAGGATTTACAGGATTGGCACCAGCGCACAAAGGCACAAAGGGCCGGATTCATCCCAAGCTGACCGAAGGCATTTTAACCGAGGCGCCGGCACTGGGAGCCTCAGCTCCCTGCTCCAGTCCAGGGAGGGAGATGGGGACTGCCAGAGGGCTCAGGGGTGGGTGGCAGTGCCTTCACAGGTCCCCAGTGCACTCTGCTCACAGGAGGAGGAACCAGCAGTGCTCCAGCCCCTCGTTTAAGCGCCTCAGTTGAATGCCCTGTTTGATTCTTCAAGCTTTTAGTCACCCACAAAATAGCAGCCAAAATATCAAAATGGGACCCCAATATTGCAAACCTGTTGATTTAGGAGTAGAGAAGACCCCTAACCCATGTGACAAACACACTTCCAAGCAAAGGCATTGATGCTGGTGGCCAAAAGCCCCAAGAGAATCACACCAACCTCAGCCTCCTTAAAATTAAGGATCTTCTGGATTGAAGGCATCTAAAAACCAAGGACTACAGGTTTAGAATTAATTCTCAGACCTTTGGTGTACTTCAGATGGATTGGAGCTTCCAGAACAAAGTTCCCTTAGGTGACAACTCATGGCATCAGCCACCACAAAGCCAGGAGAGCCCAAGCTAGATTTAACAGAACTGTACACAACAAACTAGAAAATAGAGAAAAACTGGTGAATCCCTGCTTGAGCAAACAACCTGTGGAAGATATTTCGCTTGGCCACTTTTTTGCCTGACTTCCAAACTATTTCAGAGGTGGAAAAGCAAACACAGGGGTGGAAATAACCTTCTTCTGGATCAGCTTGGCCACAGCAAAACTGAGTTTAATTGACTATAACTCATGGGGGGACAGGGGGGAAGAAAAGCTGTCAGAAAGTCAAATGACAATTACCTCATGAAAAATAAAACAAAATACAACGTCCTGCGAGGTCATTAAGACAGAGTGCCCAGGGCTGAATTATACAGCAGAGCTTCAATAAAACTGAAGGGCTTTGTTTGCGTATTTGTTACTGACGGAAACCGACGGCGAAGCTTCACTGGTTCCTGAAGCTGCCACGACCCTTGGAGACCAGAGCTTTGCAGGGTGAAGCCTCCCAGATTTCCACTTTTCAGGGCTTGTCTGACCTATGGCTTCATCTTCACTTTAATGGGAAGTGACAGTTCCCGATGGAATTGGGAATCCCAAAGGAATCCCTGGGCTGCTCCCCTGCACTCCCTTCCCTTGGCTAATTGACCATGAAGTTCTTCTGCTGAGACCTTCCCAACAGTGTCTCCAGCTCCAGCATGACAAAATTTAGCTTTGCATCAAGTTAGGTTGAGGAAAGATGCTTTGCTTCTTTTTCCTTTTCCACACACACATATTTATATAGGATTTGTGCCTAAGGGCTCATGAATATCATTGTGGCCAAAATCAAAACTACCGTTTTGTATTATTTTCTATCAAGAACTTGACATTATAAGATTTTTCTCAAATGCTTCTTACTTTAGAAGTTGGAACAAAGTTAAAACATTGTTAGGGGTGATGTGCACCAGGTGCTCTGGGCTCTATTTTGTTTATTTATTTTGCAATCAACTGTTTTTGTACTTTAGCTAAGGGAAAACACTACAGCCTGATCTCTTTGGGCTCTTCTGAAACTAAGAAAGGTTTTGGAAAAGGACTTCATGTTCTGCAAGGAATGTGGATCCTTAATTTCTGAGTTCTCTTTCAGATCTGTGCCACTTGGACAACTTAAAACTGATAGGGGAAAAGAAAAATCACCATTTAGTGATGAAGAGATGCAGGTGATCACCTGTGAGAGGTGCAGAGCACTCATGGACCTCCCCTCTCCGTGGGGATCCGTGTTCTCCCAGGCCTGCAGGTGGCTGTGGTCCTGCTCAGGGTGGCAGAGGGACCAGGACCAGCCGTGCCAGCGCTGGAGCTGGCAGTGCTGGAACCACAGCAGGCTGGCCCTGGGGCTGGAGAGCACAGAGACTTTGTCTTTCCTGCTCTCGTGAAAGCCCAGGTGGAAACCAAGGCAGGATGGAGGAGGGGAAGAATCCACTTCCCAGAGGAGTGGGAAGAAGAGAAATAGATGAAGACAAGGTGCCTGCTGAGCCCATGAACATCTGGGCCAAGCACAGGAGCTGGATGGGAGCTGGGACTCGGAGCCCCAGGTAAAGGCCAGCAGAAGGAAGGAGAGGGGGGAGTTGTTGGCAGAAGGGAGAAGGTGCCGGACCCAAAGCCAGTGAAGGAAATGGGAGGGACTGGGAGGCTGGTTGGAGGTACTGGGGTGAGACAGAGGGGCTCATTGAGGAGGCTGCTGGCTAAACTGGGACACAAGGATGAAGGATGGGAGGAGAGACTTGGCACAGTGTTTTGGGGGAAGGAGATGAGTCTGCAGGCAGGAAGGATGCTGATCCAGAGGCCGTCCTTGCCAAGCTTGAGGAGAGGGGCTGCTTTGGGGACCAAAAGGGTCCAGGGGCTCAGGGCTGGCAGGGAGCAGGGACAAGACTGGGGACAGGAGGAAACAAGGCTGGCCCAGCCACAGCTGTGAAGGGCATGAGACCTCTGGAAGTTCTTGTCCCACCAAAGCCTGGAACAGCACTGAGGATCTGAGAGCAGAGATGTCAGGCACCTACGGAGGGTCAGGGACAGCTCACTGCCATCCTCAGGTGCCCGAGGGCTGCACAGGAGCCACCAGATCTGGTGGTAGAGAGGAGCTACTTGGTCTCACCTTGCCTAAGCCCAGGGAGCTCTGTCTCCCTCAGCACCTGGGGGACCCCTCTTTGGAGAGGAGTCTGCCCTGGATAAGGAGAGGGGCTGTCCCCTCTTGCCAACGAGATGGAGAAACACAGGGATGATGGCCCCAGGCAGGGCAGGGAGAGCTGGGGGACTGCACAGAGGAATCCCATGAGATGCCAGCCAGGACACCACACTGGTGGCCACCTGCAACCTAAGACAAGGAAAATGGAGCCACCTCACACCCAAGGACCTGCTCAGCTCCAGCCCTCAAACACAGAACAAGAAGCCACATCTCAGAGGGGACAGGCAGCTCTCCAGAACTCCCCAGAATGGAGCACCAGCTCACCCAGCAGCATGATTTTAGCCCTGAGTCTTTTTAGGGCAAGGATGAACCTCTCTATCCAGGAATCCCACCAGGTCTCTGGGAGTGAGTCCAGTCTTCAGCCATGCCCTGCCCTGCTCCTCTGCTTTGCCCTGCTGCACGCAGCATTTCTGGGTGTCTGTAGCATCCCCACCTAGGGCTAACATTTCCTCAAAAGAATTTTGGCTACCAAGAATGTTAAATAACTTAGGGTGGAGTAAAAAAAAAAAATCAGCATAAAACCGGATATCCTGAGGGGGGGAATCAATATAAAGCCCAAGTCCAGCTAAGGGGGAAGGTAGGTTGTAAAAATTAATGAGAATAATTGTTGTGAATTCTTGTTTTTGAAAGAACCCTCGTGAGGGCAGAACCTTAATTATTTCTGTCTATTAGGTTCATTTCCTGGTCCTAAGCAGAGAGCTCATACCTAATAAATACGAGCCAATGATTTAAGCTACAGCAAAACGGTGCTTAACTGCAGGAGAAGTTAATATTTGGGAATCAACCTGATTGCAAGCACCCATTGTGTAAATGGCAAGGAAATGAAATGTGCATGTGACCTTTTTTAACACCTCGATATTTCTGGGGTGTTTTTAAGGGTAGCAGAGAGGGGGGAGGTGACCAATGGAGCTGCTGACAACCGCCCTGAAAACTTCACCAAAACCCTCTTCATAGCTTAAGCCTCTTTTTGGGGAGTAGGGCTGAGGAGAGAGAGATCCCAGGGTGCTTAAATATCTTTTCAGGCTGTCTAAAATATCAGGGGAAATAAGCACAAGCCCTGCACTGGGATTGCAGCTGTGCTCTTGAAATAAATTGACCTATCTGGAAGCAGGCAGGTATTTCTATAAGCTGTGTAAGGACTCAAATGCGTTTTGGGGTGAGTCACACAATTAATTCTGTAATAGAATTCAGCTATAACAGAGCTCTTGAAACCTAAACCCCATGCAGGGATGAATTTGTGTGTGTAAAATACATGGGTGTATAAAACTTCGTGTGAAATATGCCAGAGGCTGGGTGGGGTGGATGGGGAAGATTGCATGAGGGATGAGCAACAGGTGAGGGATGAAGGTGGGGAAGGAAAATGGGGAGAAATCAGCAGTGCACTGACACAAGAGCTGAGGATGCCCCACACATCGGGGGGCTGCCATCCTTTATGGCAGGGGGAAGTGCAGCCTGCTTTGCAAGAGGAAAATCTGTATTTCCAAGCAACTTCTCAGCTGTGAAAGCTGAGCTCAGGTTTCTGTTGGTGGAAAAGGCTCCAACTCAGTTTCACCCACCTCAGCTGGAGGATGTTTCTCCTCAGCATTTGCATCAACCCCAACATCATTCCCCATCTGCACTGGGGCGAGCTACAAATTGTCTTCCCTCCCCTGCAGGGAGATGCCATTTAGGGAAGATCATCCCTGGTTTATTTTTATGACTCTCTCTTTCCCAATTGGGATTTTATCTTGGGGCTACAGCCACTTTTCCTCCGTTCCCCCTCGATTCCAAGCAGCACAGGGAGGAATGTGTGTGTCAGGGGGCAGAGGGATGTCAGAGCCTGTAAAACGTGTCAGGGGTGTGTAAAATGTGTCCTGGTGGGTGCGAGTGTCTGCTGGGCTGGGAGTGTGTGTGGCTGTGGGGATTCCTGCCTGTGTCAGATGCACACATGTCATTTCTTATCACACAGATGTTGCTGATTTACAATCAAATATTCCTGCTCCTCCTAGCATGGCAGTTTTCCCAAACTACTGTACTTACATGTTCCTGCTTTGCTTTTGTTTTATTTGCATGATCATTTCCTATAAAACAGCCCCATTTTTCTTCAAAGGAGAACAGTTCCATTCACGTCTGTTTTCTCCTTGGCAAATGCCTTTAAAGCAGGCAGTGTGTCCTGTTTTATTAACTCCCACTTCTATTAATATTATATTCTTTCTCCAAATCCATCAAGCAGAAGTTAAACTTGATTTTATAGCATCCACAGTGGAGTTATAATTTAAGGCATAATTTGGCAAGGACTCGATTTGGATTCGGTTTGCTTGTCCCAGCTGTGCCAGCAGCTCCTATTTTAAAGGGCAGGGAAGTATTTTCCTTTCTCCCTAGTTATGGTGGAACGCTCTTTCTTCTCCAGCCCAGCTCTGCTCTCTACATCTTGCTGGTCAGCTGGTGGATGGAGGAAATGCAATTGTTTCACACAGGTTTAGGAACCTGCATTTCCAGGAAAGCATCCAGCATTTATTTGGGGTGCTAAATGACTTTTCTCTGTTTGAGAAACAATTATTATACCGGGTACAGAGGAGCCACCCTACCTGCCTGCAAGTACAAGTTGATAGTAAGAGCTTTTTACGTGATTAAGAGAAGAATTAGATTTTTTGCTGAAAGTAATTGAGTTTTCATGGGGCTATGCCCCAGAGAGGGTCTGTGGGCAGTGGCAAGAGACAGTTGCTGAAAGACATCCCTGACTGATCTGAGGAGAACCACCCTGCCCTAAACCTTCAGCCTTCCTCCTCCTCCCCTGCTGGCTGGGGAAGCCCAAAACCAAGCAGGGAAGGAGCGGGAGCAGCGGGCTCCTCACAGAGGGGCAGCGACAGCACGCCAAGAAAGCCCTTAATCCACCCAACCCTTTTCTATTCCAGCAGAAGACAAAGCCATGCCGTTCTTTTCGTGCTTTGTTTGCCTGAACTCGGGAGCTGAGGCTCCCTTTCCTGGCCGGGCCTCCCGGCTGCCGAGCCCGCAGCCCCCCGTGGGCAGCCGGGTTATCAGCGCCCGGCCGCCGAGGGGAGCGCCCGGCTCCCTCCTCCAGATTAGGAGCCTTTGACCCGTGGGGAGGGGGGAAGATAAAGCAAACTTCCTCGGTTGGTCGTCTCCGTGTGAGCAGAGCATCCTGGTGAGCTCATTGCCCCTTCCCCGGCTCGCCCCGAGCCGGGCTGTGGATGCTTTGTGTGGCCAGGAATAACAGAGGGGATGGGATGGGGATGTGAGGAGAGGAAAGGGGAAGGGAGGGGAAGGAAGGGGAAGGGAAAAGGGGACAAGGATAAGAGAAAGAAGGGGACAAGGAAAATAAAGGGGAAGAGAAGGGAGAAGGAAGGAAAGGAAAAGGATTGGGGGGGAAGGGAGAAGAAGAAAGGACAAGGAGAAGAAAAGGAAGGGGACAAGGAAGAGGAGGGGGGAACGGAGAGGAAAAAGAAAGGGAAAAGGAGAAGTAAGGAAGGAAAGAAAAGGGGAAAAGAAAAAGGAGTGAAAGGAGTAGGGAGGGAAGAGGAGCCGAGCCCCTCAGGAGGAGCAGCGGGAAGAGGGAAGGAGCGGGATGCGGTTTGCCGGGGCGGGGGCCGGCCCAGCCCCTCACCTTGTGGTTTTGGTAGGAGGTGACGGCGATGAAGGCGGTCTCCGGGAAAACGTGGGTGCAGAAGGCGGTGTTCTTGGAACCGAAGCCGTTGTTCTCGTCCGCTTTCACGATGTGAAGCCGGGGCTGGTACTTGTGCATGGAGTTGAGGATGATCTGGGCAAGGGGAGAAGGAGAGGACATGCCGTGGGAATGGAGGGGGCACAGCACGGCGCATCCCATCCCTTCCCAGGGGAGGAGAAGGACAGAGAGCAGCAGGAACCCTCAGCACCTTCCCAAAGTCTTCACCCTTTTCAGGGCTCCCCTCGGAGGGCAGGTTGAGGCGCTGGGGAAGGGGCAGGGATCTCTCCAGAACCCGCACCAGGAGCCCAGCAGGGCCGGGAGGTGCTGGGAAAGGCTGCGCCCCCTCCCCAGCCCTGCCCGCACAACCCCCGAGGGTTCAGCTGCTCCCCCAACACCTGCTGGGGGCAAAGGGGGCCCTGGGCATCTCAACACCCCCATCCATCCCAGGGGGGTAAAGAGAGAGGAAAGGGCGAGAGAAGAGAGCCGGAGGGATTTGGGGATTTAGGGACACCCGCCAGCAGAGGACGGGAAGGAGAGGACGGTGTTGGAGCCGGGAGGGGCTGGAGCGCCGTGTTCCCGATAAAAAGCGGGCCCTGCTCGGTACCGGGTTAATCTCGGGGGAAGATGGGGGGCGGTGGCGGCGGCGGGGGGCCGCTCGGGCCCGATAATGACTGCCGGACCCTGGCGACAGAGAGACGCAGCGCGTCCCGCCGCCGCCTCCCCCGTCCCGGGGGTTTAAGCAAATTGCTTTGACATCCAGGAAAGTCGTAGACATCAACGGTGAACGATCTAATGGTTTTTAATTTCATTACAGCGACTCTAATTGAGAGGCTCCTGGCGCAGCTCCTCCTCTGAAGTCCCTTATTGTCCCCTCAGCGTCTTGGGTTCTTTTAGAGGGACTTTTTCCCCAGAGCCGCCTGTTCCCAGCGGGGATGCCTGGCCCCTTCCCCCCGGGCCGGATCCCCCCCTTCTCCCCAAAAGCACCCCGGGGGTGGGATGGGTTCCCCCGGCTGCGCTGCTCCCCTCCCTCTTCCTGTCAGGAAAGGTCCTGATCCCTGGGAAGCGGCCCTCGCAAATCCCTTTGCCATCAGCTCCGGGTAGAATTAAACTAAAATTCGAATTATAAAACGAAAAAGGAAATCAACCCCCGCAAATGGAGGTGCAAAGGAGAGCTTGTAAAAGGATGCTCAGCACTGGGGTGGGCTGGGGATTCTGCTGGCTCCTCTCCCCTAAACCCCTCTCACTTCTTGGCTGCCACGTGGGCGAGGATTTCATGGCACAAAATTTATCATTAAATAGCGAAGAAAAACAAACAAAAACACTTGGAAAAAATGAAACTGAAGTGTTGAAACGAGACTGGAGAAAAAATCCGCTCTTGAAAAGGGCTGGTGGGATCTGGATTCACATATTCGTTCAATTACATATATATATATATTACTCATACATGCACATTCATATTTGCTCAGAGGAACTCGCATCTTTGGAGACCTTTGAAGGAAAACTGTTCCTGGCTGCAGAACTCACACAAATTTTCCCGGCCCCAAGAGCCTCGCAAAGACCTTTTTAATGCCCAAGAAGTTTTAGCGGGACTTCAATTTTTCTAATTGTCTTTAATTATTGTTACTTTTTTTTTTCTCTCTTTTCCTGATCGAGGAATCCACATCGTTTTAGGTTCTATTTCCTCCGCTAATTATGCCTGATTGATTTTACCTGTTAAGCAAATTCCCGGAGGCAGCGGGCGGATTTTAACGATCCGGGACTCCCCGTGCAATTAAAATCAGGCACCAAATATTCAAGTAAACCAGGAGAGTTTCACCCACTCGCGAGCTCCAGGCCCCGGGGATCCGTAATCGATTCCCACCAAACAACCCGGGTTCAAGGGTTGTGATTCTGTTTTGGGGGGATGCTCGGTGGGGCTCATCCCGCTCTCTCAGGGGTGAAAACCCCACCCCACCACCCCTGGATCTGAGGGTGGGTGACACTCGGTGGGTGACACTCGGTGGGTGACACCCCTCGTGGCTGCTGGACACGCACCGTGCCCTCGTCCCAGCCCCGGTGCTTACATGTCCGAAGGGATCCAGGTGGTTGTTGGTGAGTTTGAGCTTCTGGAAGGAAACCAGCTGCCTCATCCAGTGGGCACCGGTAGCCGGGGAATCGGGGTGCACGTACAGCCTGCCGGGCATGGCCGGCTCTGCCTTGCCTGTCACCGACCTGCGTGGGGACACGGGGCTCAGCTCCGGACACGTGGGGACGGCCCGGGGGCTCCCCGCTCCCATCCATCCCCTCCCAGGAGCTCCCCGCTCCCATCCATCCCCTCCCGGGAGCTCCCCGCTCCCATCCATCCCCTCCCGGGAGCTCCCCGCTCCCATCCATCCCCTCCCGGGGGCTCCCCGCTCCCATCCATCCCCTCCCGGGAGCTCCCCGCTCTCATCCATCCCCTCCCGGGGGCTCCCTCCCGCTCAGGTACCCCGTGCCCGGGGAGAAAAGACATTTCCAATGCCGCTGGCTCGCGGAATTACTGAGCTCTTTGGCACCTTTCCCGTCGGAGATGTCTCTCTCCCCTTGCCTTTAACCCCATCCTTCCCCCGATAAATGGCCATGGAGCCAGGAGCAGAGAACCAATCCTTAAATATCCTCCTGCCCGGAGCTGTTCCCTTCCTTAATACAATTAAACCATCAGCTCCACAACAGCAAATAATCTCATCGTCGAACGGGATTCCTTAGTTGCGACAGAATTTCTGCGCTTTTTCCCACTTTTATTTTTGGATGCATTTCTCCCACAGGGGCTGTGGGAACATCCCACTGCGCTCAGGTGTGGCTCCCAACATTTTGCGTGGAAAAAGAAGGACGAGCCGCTGATTGAAGGGTTTTTCCCCAGCCCTGGCAGCCCAGGGCTCCGATCCCTCCCCTCTCTGGCTCTCCCCCACGCGTGCCTACCATTTATTATCGGCGAATTTGTATCTGTGGTCATCCGCCGGTACAATATCCATCAACAGGATGTACTTGGTTTTTGGATTGAGTCCAGTGACCTTCACTTTGTAACTGGGGAACATTCGCCTGTTGAATGAATAAAGAAGTAAATAAATAGAAGTATAAAAGCAGAGAAAGTTTGCCAAGGTGGTTTTGCGTGCGGGGAGGAGACTCGGGGGAGGGGGGGACATTTAACGAAAGGGCAGCGCCACATTCCCAGGTGGATCGTCCCGAAACCCTCCCTTGGCATGTGGGACAAGTCTGGGGGGTGCTGGGTCCCATCCGAGGAGAACCGGGTGATTTATCAAAGCAAAATCGGAATTTCGAGGCTGGTGGGTTTGTTTATTCACTTCCTCGTGTGTCTGCTCCTCTATTCCTATTTTTACTAACTATTTCTTTCATCGAGGTTTTGAATCTCCGTTTTTTTGAACAAATCTGAGCGTGAGAACTTCTGGAAGCAAGTTACTTCCATCCCTCCATAAACTGCTGCAACAGGAGAGGAAATTTGCCAAAAAAAAAGTTTTAAAATAAAAGTTATAATATAGATACTTCTATAAAAAATGTCTTTCTATAAATGTATATGTTTATAGAAATACTTTCTCATATATTACATATATAGAAATATAAACAGTTTAAAATACATTTATTTGAACACCTTGAGGTTCTGGGGATAGATACGGATGAAAAAACCCTGCACGCACTCAGGTGTAAGAGAAAATCCGTGATCCCCCTGAGAAAGCAGCAAACACACCTGACAAATCCTTGGAAACCCTGGGATACACGCAAGGCAGGGGCTTTTCGAAATATTTTCCATTACTGCAAGGCAGGCACTTAAACCACTGCTGTTATTTTAGTTCGAGCTTTCCAAATATTTAAAAATAAAGCAGATGAAAATGGAGCCCCGGATTTAAAACAGGCATAAACAAGAAAAAAAAAAAAATCCCCAAAAATAAAAACCCCACACCTCTAAAAATATCGCGTTCTTCTCTGAGGCTCAGGATCTTATCGCTGCCGTGGGGCACCTGGGCTGGGCTTTAATTCGGTTCTAAAAAGTTGAAGGGGGGCGAAAAGCGCCCAACGAAGGAAGCGAGCCCTGAACTTTAAGATTTTAAGGGAGAAGAAACCAAATTCCACCTGGAGATTAATCTGTAACTCCATCGAAAACACCTTAGCAGCAGAACCAGGGACTTCAACAATAAACACGGGCAATGATATAAATGAGGAAACCGAGCCCGCATCTCCCCTCGAGCCCCTGCCCCGTAAATGTCTCTTTTATTGCTCTCCAGATGAGATCTCTGTCCACAGCGATTTTTGTTTGGAATTTCTGCAAGGTGGTTTCTGTCTCCCTTCGAGGGTTGGATTTTTTTTTTATTTTTTATTTTTTTTCCCTGTGAACCGGGTTGGTTTTTTTTTTTTTGGGAGATCCCAACACTGACTTCATCCCCCCCCCCCACTTCATCCCACGTCCCTTTGGCCACAAACCCCTTTGAAATCCGTTTTTGCAGCAGCGAGGTTCAAGGAGAAGGCGAGATCTATTCGCTAAAACTTTATCCAACCAGCTCAGTATTTATTTCCCCCCCTCCCTCTTCAGGCAAATTTTGGAAGACCACAACAAATGCCAGATGACAGAAGCAAAATGAAAGTTTGCCTCTGCTTTGTTGACTGTGTCCCTACAATCTAAAACTGTTCCTACACGTGGAAGCTTTTTCTCCTTTTCGCCAAGGATTCTAATTGAAAATCACAACGAAAAATCCTCCCTCGGGCTGCCCCCAATTTGTTGATAGGACTGGAGAGACTCTTTTACTGCGTCTCGCTGGCCGCTCTTCAATTGAACAACCCTCCACCACATTAATATCCAGGATAATGTTAAATCCCCTCAAAAATACCCGCGTCCACATATAAATATCTGCGGATCAGGTTTACACAGCCGGTCATGGAATAGATTAGAACCCCAATAAAGTTGGATTTGCAAGGCTGCATATTTTTCCGCACACCCACGCAGATAAACACCCGCATAGAAATACACCCACATGATATTGATTTGCGGACGCATCCATCTCTGCATCTAAACAGCTTTGTTATCTCTCTATAAACAGTAGCTTAAGACCGCATAGATTTTTAAAAGGGGTGAAGTGGCTGGGCTGGGAATATTCGCCCCAGAGTGAGCAAAAATAAATTTAAAACTCTGTAAAACGGCATAAAACTTGGGAGGGGGGCAGCAGAAGAGAATAATAATAATAATAGTAATAGTAATAGTAATAATAATAATAATAATAATAATAATAATAATAATAATAATAATAGTGGCCCACTGAGCTGCTCTAAACAAAGTTTGCTTTTTGGCCAAGTGGTTGCAACTCGCGTTCTCCTGGAAAGTTTCCAAAGGTCTGAAGTCGGAATTAATGATCCAACTGTTCTGGTTTAGGAAGAAGCCAGAAGAAACACTTCGTGCCGCGTCTGTGCAGGCAGGGCGGGCTCTCCATGGCCGGGCAGTGGCACACACACACACACACACACACACACACACACACACACACACACGCGGAGATTCGGACACCAGAGCTGTGCCCGTGCCAGGGAGGTGCCCACTGCCCCCCATCCGGGCGGGTGTGTCCCCCCCGTCCCCGCAAACACGGAGGGCACCGCGGACCCCCCTGCTCTTACCTCCCGGCCTTTGTTATGATCATCTCCGTGCCCACTTCGTGGAACTTCAGCCATAGCTCGCGTTCGTGCAAAAACACCTTGATGCCCTCCATGCCCTGCGGAGCGGGGTGGCACAGAGCGTCAGCCCTGGGGGGAGCGGGGACAGCCCCGGGGGGAGCGGGGACAGCCCCGGGGGCAGCGGGGACAGCCCCGGGAGGAGCGGGGACAGCCCCGGGAAGAGCGGGGACAGCCCCGGGGGGAGCGGGGACAGCCCGGCCGGGCCCCTCTCGGCCCCGCTGGGGAAAGGCTGCGCTCTGCGGGCCGGAGCTCGGGGCATTCCCGGGAAAACCCTGCCCCAAAGCCGGCCAGAGCGAGGTTCCAGGCCTGAGCGCGGGGATGCTGCTTAGGGCAGGCCCGGAGCGGGGTCCGGTGGGGCGGGGAGGCGATGGGAGGGAGCCGGCTCCAACCGCATCCTCCCAGAGAAATCCCCCGGTGCTCCGGCCCTGCTGCTCCCAGAGCCAACCGGAGGAGATTTACACCCTCCCACGAGTGATTTACACCCCATCGGCTGCGCTCTGCAGGCTGGAGCGGAGTGGGGTGTCACCCTGCACCCCTCGCCCCCTGATTTTCTCTTTCCCACCCAAGAACTGCGAGCCCTGGGCTGGGGCAGATGCCACCGTGGGGACAGCACATCCCTCCAGCCTGGCTGGGAGGCACAGGGGACACCCCCAGCCGAACCAAGCACCTCTCCCCCTCTCTAAAACGCAGCCGAAGCGCCCCGTCAGACTTCGGGGGGCACTTTCCAAACACCTTCGG